CTTCCAAACTAAACACCTGTGGTTCCTGTGCCTTCTGTTGTACAAAGGATAAAAGAAATACTCTCACAGGTTCCACAGCCTCTCTCAGCTTTTATTTGCCTCCTGGATGATAGCTCAGAGGAAATGGAGACTTTGGAGGACACCTGAGGGAGGAGCAAGAGATGTGTGACAACATATCTGGAACCACTACTTGGCTCCATTCCTAGGGGGGCATATGCCTCATCAATGCAAACTGGCTTACCTGCTTATAGGTCTTTTACTGGTTCTTGAACTTCTTTGGCTCCTACTATCACGAGATTATCCCATCAGGTTTAAATGAGAGGGAGAGAGAGAACGAGAGAGAGAGTGAGAGAGATGAGAGAGAGAGAGAGAGAAGTGAAAGGAAGAATTTGAAGGCATCTAAAGCACAGTGTTATAGTTCAAAAGAAGAAATAAAATCTCAAATACACAAAACAGGCCTCACTATCACAGGGCCAAGCCTACAAACTGACAAATGGAGATGTGGCTACTTTTAGACATAGCTACCCTTGACTGAGTCCCTCCTAGGACCTGGTACTGTGAAAGATGCTATTCGCATGTCTGTTTCATGGGACTATCCTGATACTGTTGCAACCATTTTGCAAAAAGAAATCCAAGGGACAGAGAGACAAAGTGAGTGGCTTGACTACAATCACATAGCAAGAACTGTTAAGAACTTCCAACTGTCCTTACGTCGCTAATTTGATGGGAAAAGAAAAACAGACATAGTAGGTGCAATCCAGGCTCCAGAAAAGATTTACACCCTTCCCTTGCCCTCTTTAATCTGCGGGTGTATGGTCAGTACGTAGAGCTACAAAGGAACAGGCAAGACCTGCATCGGGATTAAGGAGGGAAAATGAGTCATTGCCTCTTTCCTAAGGGACTGCCGACAGAGGTAACAGACACGTGGGACTCCAGTTCACATCTGGATTCTGTCTAGTTGAGGACCTGTGGGACTTTGGGCCAGGTCATTAAACACTATGTAAGATTCCAATTCTTATTTTATCAAGTAAGAATAAGGATGCCCCTCTCCCAGAACTGTTACACACACACACAAGAGGCAAGCACCTAAAACCGTGCTGGACATTTTGGGAGCACCCAGGGAATTGATTTCTATTCTACTTTGTGTCTTCAGAATAAGTCATGAAGATCATTGGAAAATCACATGTCATAACAATAGTGAAGTTTGTTGAGCACTTACTACGTACCAACTTGCAGTTTCAAGTTCTTACTTAAGCTCTACACTACTCCACACAATAGGTTCTGTGCCATTCTCATTTTGTAGATGAGGAGACTGAAGCCAAAAGGAACGAGTTAGCTCTAACGAAGCACAGGTGGGATAATGGATGTTAGCAGAGAGCCAGGTAAATATATGGACTCCTGACAACCAACCCAGCCTTCCCTGTTACAGAATTCGTGAATTGGGGAAAAGGTGGGCAATATTTTTAGGGGATTGAGAGGGTGGTGGAAAGCGGGGCTGCAGAAAAGAACTAAAAGAGGACTTTTAGGAGCAACTAGCAAACTCAATCCGGTGGCACATTTACAAAAAGGGGGAGGGGGAAGGCCAGCAGGCCAAGGTGCCACACAGGAGTGATGTCAATCCCTTTCTGCTGAGCAGACTAAGAATCACTAGGGAAGGAGAGTGGAGACTGGATAGAAGGAGGGCAAGACTTGTGGGGTCTGCATTTCACTTATCTAACAGGTCAAGAGAAACTTTAACAAGATTAACTGCTGCTCTGGGACTCTGCTCAATGGAGCAAATTGAGTCTATTGTTTTCTTTTTCTTTCTTTCAAACCGTGGGGGTAGAGCAGGAGACTGGGATGAAGGGCAGAGGTCTGGATCCTGCCTGGTGTGCTGCAAAAGCGCAGGGATGTGTCAGGCTCAGCCCCCTCTCTCCACCCATTTCCCAGACTTGAAACGGAGCCCACTGTGCTATCCAGGGGAGCTGCAGGCTGTGTCAGGATGATGGTGGGTGTGCGTGGGGGGAGAGGTGATGGTGTTTATGAGACACTTTTTTTCCTGAGATGCCGGTGGGGGGGGGGCAGGGTTGGAAGGCAGGATGCCAGGAAGAATATCCCAGTTGATGCTGAGGACCGCGTCAGCCAGCACGCGCTCCTACCTCTGTGTCTCTTTCTCCCAGCTGGGCAGAGGGAAGAACAGCCTTCCGGATAACCCTAAAGCCTATAGAGCATCCATCGTTGGTGGGCCCTCCAGAGAATACCACCTTCAGGCCTTTTATAACTCTGACTTTGTTTCTGCCTGCATAAGCATTTCCTTTTTTTTTTTTTAATTTAGTAATGCATTTTTTTTTTCTTTGCCTTTCACAAAAATAAAAGGCATGTTTTCCAAGCTTCAGAAGTGAACTATTCCTTCACTCCTTCCCTCTGTCTCTCCCAGCGCCTGTCTGAACTGGTGTCAGTGAAGTTTGAACCTGGCAGAAATAGCACTCCGGGCGGATCTGGGAGCACAGCCCGCCTACCAGGAGCAGCAAGGCCTGCCTCTGCCAGACGACAGACCCGGTTAACAGCACCGTAAAATTAGACCTTTACGAAACCCAATTGAATCCTGCAGCAAAGAATGATGTAAGGCAGCCTGGCCCTACAGCAAGGCAGCAGCCCTCTGCCTGAAATAGCAGTGCGGTCCCTGCTGAGCGATGACTGCTTTCCAGACAGGTGACCAGGGATTCCTAGGAAAGTGGCGACGCCCAGCCAGAGGAAAGCCAGCAGAGGTCAGGCAGCAAACTGGGCACCTGAGGTCGCAGCAGCAGAAGGATGAGCCTGGGCAGCGGATCTGTGGCAATGCCCTTCTTGTCTAGTTCTGCCTCTCCCCGCCCTAACTTACACGAAAGAGGGAGCTGAGAAAGTATTCTGCAAAGGACCTCTGTTTGTTTGCTTTTTAATTCAAGGAGAAGCAGGTTCTTTTTAGTCCAACAGTCTGGACCGCGCGGGTAGGATACTGCAGAATGAGTCTTTTCTGGCTCAGTGCCAGGTGTTTACACACCGCCAAATCTGGCTCCGACTCAACTAGAGAGGGGGAAAAAAAATCCACAATCCACTTGAGTCCTCCAGAGAAAAGCTCCTGGCTTTCTGGTGCTACACGACAGCAGTGCCTTCCCCCTACCCCTCGTTTTCAGAGGAATGCTATTTCCACACATAAAATGGACCAGGCATTTTATACAAGCAATCATAACCTAACGTCCCCCATCCAATTACAGTATTTTACTGCAACAATCTTTGTGCGCTGAGTGAGTGCTCAGCAGAGCGCTTGTGAAGAGGCTCCGCGTCTGAATTACAGACACTTGGAAAGCAGTCTCTTGTGGAATTCCAGGAGTTGCACGGATATGTGTTTTTAAAAGCACGGCTGCCTTTTCATTGATGGTGCTCGCTCAGCTCCAGGCTGTCTTTTTTTTTTTTTTTTATTGGAGGGGAAGCCCTCTACAACAGGCACAGACCAGGCAAACCTATCCCCCCCCCCCCCTTTTTTTTCTCCCCCGGTATCATCTCCAAGCAACAGACGGTGCTTTCACATGTTCGGAAAGAGAAGATACCACAGCCCTGAATTAACACCCACCATCACTACTATTTTGAATAGTGTCTCCTCTGCTCCTCTCCTCCGTGTGAGTAGGGCTTGGGAGCTAAAAGTGAATGGGCTCCTTTCCCTCCTCCGTCCCCCGGGGGGAAAAAAGGAAAAATAGCACGCAATGACGTCAGCCGTGTGTGTGCATGTGGTTGGGGAGGGAGTCGCTCTCCCGCTCTCCCGGGGTAGCTGGCAAGTGGGGGCTTGGGCAGACATATTCTTGGTATGGCAGCAAGTCTAGTGTCCCAGAGTGGACCTCAGGTAAACAGGACAAACAGCGCAAGACTCGTGGAAGTTCAAGGCGAGGGGCGGTGGAGAATGGGGGGAGGGAAGGGAGAAGTGGCGCCGTCTGAAGAGCAGCAAGCTTCCCTTCGAAGAACTTGTGTGTAAGGGGGTGGGATCGCAAAACGCCTTGCACGTTCCCTGGCTGCAGCCAAGGGGGGAACCCCTGCTCTCTTTAAGACGTCTCAGAACAAGGCAAATCTGTTTGTGCAGGAAGGGAATCTCCCAGACCACAGAGGCAAAACTTTCCTTCTTTCCGCTAGCGCCACAACCTCCCCTACACCCCCAATTTTGGCGAAGGCATTTCCAAAGGATCCTTGAGAGGGGGGCAAGGATGGGGGGAGCATTTCAAAAGCTTGCGACTCTTGCACAGTGTCCACTTTCACCAGGGGTTAACTGAGGTGGAAGCGCGAAAAGGGGGAGCAGGCGAGAGATAGTAGGGAGAACGCAAATTCACTCCGGACTCGTGTAAGTCCCAAACGAGAGATGCGCCCTGTTTCGAAGGAGATCCTAGGGAAGGCTGGCGGGGTTTGAGTTAGGGAGGTCTTCCTCCGGCCCCGAGTGACAAGTACCAGGCTTTGTAAAAAGCGAGGACGAGATGGGGTGAATCCCAGAGGCAAGCTTCTACCAGGGAGCAACTTAAGGACACTCCGATGACTTCTATGTTCATTCATGGCAACAGCCGTGTCCTCGATGGTTTTCAGGCCAACGGGGCAAACTGAAAGATGTGTGATCCACATAGAAAACTCAAGGAGGGGAGCGGTCCTCCAGCCTCCTCACTCACGTTTGTATTCCAATCCGGTCCTCTTTCCCTCCCTCCCCAAGGGAGTCGGTAAGTCCGACCTTCCACCTCCTCGAGAGGGAGCAGCGCTCCTTGTACCTGGCTCGTTCACTGAGGGTCTCTTCCACCAGGAGGGCGCCTCGTGCTCCTCTCGGGGACCAGGCAGCGACACCTTCCCAGCGCGCCCATTCCGCAGATGGGGCAAAGTGAGGTTCGCAGTTTGCCGTGGGTGTCCGCGCGCCTAGCGCGCGCGGGGCAGCTCCCGCGCAGACATGCCCGCAAGCCCCCGCCCGCCCGCTCTCCGCATCCGAGCACCCGCGCGCCCTGGGCGCCCTCGCCTACCTGTGATCACCGCCGGGGACCTCTGGCCCCCCTCCGCTCGCAGCCACACTTCCAGCGTGAACGCGTCCCGGGGCAGCTCGAGGTCGGCCCGCAGGCGCAGCTGCTCGCTTCGCCCGCTGAAATAGAGCGCCCTGCTCGGCGGCGGCGGGCTCGGCTCCTCCGCGGCGCCCCTCGCCTCCCGCTGCTGCCGCCGCCGGGGGACGCGCACAGCTTCCCAGGCACCGCCCGGCGGCGGCGGCGGCGGCGGAGAGGCGCGGCGGCCGCGGGCCGGCCGGGTGGCGCAGGTGGCCGGGCCGGCGGCGGGGCGCTGGGGGCGGCCGGCCCGCGGGTCTCTCCGGGCCCGGCGGGGGCGCTCGGCCAGCCCGCAGCCCAGCGCGGCGCTTAGCAGCCCCAGGCGCAGCACCCAACTCCAGAGCCGCATGTCCGACGGTCCCCCCCGCCCCCCCTTCGCCCCTGCACCGCCGCCCGGAGCTGCCAGCTTTGGGAGCCTCGGCGCCTCGACTTTTCTTCGCTTCTTCACCCTTCTTGGGCGAGCCCCCCTTTCCACTTGCTTTTTTTCTTTTTTCTTTCTCGCTTTCCTCCTCAAGGTGTTTGCTTCACTGCCCCCACCTTTGCAAAATACAGTCCAACTCCTCCCGGTTGGCGAGTTATTTCCCTCCTCGCTCCTTTATCTGCCTTGCTCCCCACCTCTAACAGCTGGTCGCCTTCCTCCTTGGTTTATTTCATTTTATTTTATATGATTTCTCGCTCTTACAAAAAGAGAAAAAAGCTCTTCTAAGACACTGATCCGCTCAATTCCCGCCCCCCAAAGATGCTCTAATTTATTTATTTTTTGCGTCCTTTATAACACAAGCCACAGCCCCCTTCTTGCCCCCCCCGTCCCCCTCCCCTCCCTCCTTCTTCACAAAATGAAAGGAAAGAGGGGAAAAAAAAATCCCTCAGAAGATGAGTAAACAAGCGTATGCTAATCCGCTCCCGAGCGCTCCACCTTCCCAATTGAATGAGTCCCTGTTAAAACTGCGCGGATCATGACTAATCAATCAGTTTGGAGAGGCCGAGCTGCCCCAGCCTTCCTCCACTTCACCGCTTGCCTCCTAGCCTCTGCTCCGCTTCTCCACCGCCTCCCCCCCTTCTTTTTAAGAAGACAATCTTAAAGTAACAATTTAATGAAATTCTGTACACACCCCCTTACGGTCCTCCCAGCTCTCCTCATTGCTGCTCAAAACACACATTCCTGTTCTTGTTTTGTTTGCTTTTTTTTTTTTTTTTGCTCCAAGTACTTCACCGTCACCTTCCCTCCCATACACACACCTCGTGTGTACCTCCGTGTGCGTGTGTGTGTGTTCCTCTTCTCCTGGTGGGAGAACAGCCCCCCTCTTCCCGCAGGGTCCCCTTTGCACTTTGCTGGTAAGCCTCGTTCTTTTCTAGAGCCCGTAAGAATCCTGGAACTTCACTCTTGGAGCTCTCGCTCCCTTCTTTTCTCTCTTTCCCCCACTCTGTCTCCTTCCCCTCCCTTGTCTTCTCCCTTTCCCTTCTCTGCCTCTTGTCTCCTCTTTCCCTCCTCCTCTTTCTCCTCTCAAGGTTTGTCTGTTCTGTCTTCGTTTCTCCTTCTCAGAATTGCCTTAAAGTTATGCAATGCTGAGGGTTCCTTCCTTGTGCCCCCAGGACTGCTGCCTCCAGCTAACCCAAATGCTGTCTGCAAAGGAGTCCTGGAAACAGCGGAAGAAAATAAAGAAAAGGCATTTCCAGGGCATGCGTCTTCTTTGAGGGCTGTAGACCTAGCAAAACTGGGTCTCTGTATTTCCCCGAATGCGCTTGAAGATATTCTATGGTGTGCTAGAAATTGCTTTAATAAATGACATGAGAAAAATGTCATATTGCTCACATGTCTCAGTCTAAGCAACTGAGGTCCTCTGACATTGTTTATCTCATTACTGCTTTTTGTAGATCTGTTTTGAACAGGGACATGTATGTACTGTATTTTTCCCCCCCATCTTTTTCCCCCTTTTTATAGAACTCAAAAGCTCCCCCTTATGGCAAAACAGTTCTTCTGTTTTCCCCTTCCAAGTATTTAATAAGTCAAAATGCATTAGCAGCGGTAGATTACCAGTTATTAGTTCAAATAATGTAGTGAGGTCTCCGTGTGCATAGTGGACTGGATGTCGGAGCTGATGAAACTGTTATTGTTAACTTGCAATGTTCCCGCGTGCTCCAGATCCTTCTTGAGTGCTGGGGTCATTGCTGGGTGCTTCAGGGAGAGGGACTTTTCCAGTGGAGAATGTGGGGTGATGAAAGCGCTGTGAAGATTTGCAGAATAAGCAAATCTGTGAAAATAATACAGTGGTTTGTCCAGCTTATAGAGTCCTGCTCAAAATGAGAAAGCCCAGATTCAGATGTTCCTGCTTTGGAAAGGACTTCCCAAAGAATCTCTGACCAAGAATGTCTACACTCAGTGATTCCTGCTACAAAATTAAAAAAGAAAAAAATCAGTGTATCCTAAATCCGGTAGAAGGGACAATTTGCATGCATAATGCCATGGATAAGGAATTAGTCTAAGCAAATCTTTCCCTTTCTGAAAAACCAAGTCACCTATAAAAGTCTGGAGCGGGCCATTCAAAAAAGAGTGCTGTGTTGCGCCACATACATGATATCATTCGAAGTTCTTCCCTCTGTTTCCTCAGTTAAAGTTGGCAAAAATCTATTGGTTCATTTCAGTTACAGGAATCAGGTATCTGGACCTCTGTATCTTGGGGAGCTTTTAAGTGATTGCATGAAACAATTTTAATGGATTAGTTTATTTGGAAGGCAGAGAGAGAGAGAAAGAGAGAGAGAGAGAGAGAGGCCTAGATATTGCATCTTCTGGTTTTCTTCTGAAATGCCCACAGTGGGAACAGGAAACTCAGACTGCATTTGCTACAGGTGTGGAAGGGACCCAACTACTTAAGCTGTCACCTGCTGCTCTCCTAGGGTACACATTAGCAGAAAGTTGGAATCTAGAGCAGAGATGGGACTCAAATCCAGTCACTGTGATACGCGGTCCCAAGTGGTGCGTTTTCCTCACACCAAAAACCTATATTTTCCATGTTTTTGAAATGTATCTTGGATAATTGAGATTTTTTCAGCTGTACTACGGGGAATTTGAACACGGGTTCTCCCAGCCATTCTGACACATACCACCAGTCCATTTGCTACTCTCCCTTCAACTTATTTTCCTTTAAAATGGGTGGTAGTATCCACTTCACAAATTTATTTTGAGAAAGAAACATTCCCAAGGGTCCACTACTTTGTAAATACTTTGACATAAATATCACTTAATCTACTGTTGTCAATTACAAAAATACTCTTTAGGCTTGTTAAAGAAAAATTAAAGAAAAACAAAGTACACTTTAAGCTTGTTAAAGAAAAATTAAACTTGGGGAGCTAGTTGTTTCCCCTGTCAGGTAAGAAAAGGAAGGGACCAAGTATCCTTCAGCTTCTTGGTTTTAGTTTCTAAATGCATTGGAAGCCTTTGGCAAAGCATCTTTTCCATCTGTTAATTGATCATGGAAATACTGTTCTGTCCCCTCTCTCCTGGAAAGTATTCTTTTGTAAAGAATTAAGTGTGATCGACTCGTATCTTTTTTTGTCAAGATTTGTTTATTTTTATTGGAAAGTCAGATATACAGAGAGGAGAGACAGAGAGGAAGATCTTCTATCCTACGATTCATTCCTCAAGTGACCGCAGTGGCAGGAGCTGTGCTGATCTGAAGTCAGGAGCCCAGAGCTTCTGAAAGCCAGGAGCTAGGAGCCTCTGCTGCTTTCTCAGGTCAAAGAAGGGAGGTGGATGGCAAGTGGAGCAACCAGGACATGAACCAGTGACCATATGGGATCTTGGCACTTGCAGATGGAGGATTGGTCTGTTAAGCCACTGGCTGGCCCTGGAAAGTACTGTTAATCCTTATGCATGCACATGTGTATTGCTTTGTATTTGTTTATGTGCATGGAATTATGTGAGCTGTAGCCATCTGGCTCACCCATCCTAGTTATTCAAGCATGATCTTATGTTTTTACATCTAACACAGTGATATAACATGTGCTGCCGTCTTGTACTCCATCGTGTGATCTTTCACGAATTGTTTACCTCTCTTTGTCCTTAAATTATGTATTATTTGTGTATGAGAGAGAGAGAGAGAGAGAGAGAGAGAGGATTTTTGTCCTCAGAACTACTTTTGCTCTCTGTCACTTCTGTAGTATATGCTGTTTCAACATTCATTTTATTTGGTCATATCTGAAAGGGAAGCATTTTGCCAGACAGAGTGTAAGGGTCTAGCATAATTTAGTAAAGAAAGATCAAAGTAGAGTTCTAAAGAATTGATTTCAAAAAGATGGTTCAAAGTACATGTTTCAGAGTCATCCTGACCTGGGTTCCCATGACATTCGGCAAACTGCTTAATTTTTCTGAGTCTGTGACTTTAACACTGAATTGTCACAAGGATTAAATTAATGTGTTACATGATATAGTAGGTGTTCAATAAATGAGCCTCCTTTCCTCAGTTCCAGAAATGTAAATTGTATGGTTCTCTATTCCCTCCCCCCCCAGAGGCAGAGTCCAAATTACTTTTACTCAGAGTTACACAGATCATTCTTAGCCTTCCCAGAACAGTCATTGTCTGTCTGAACTCCATGAGATAAAATCATGCCCTATTCTCCGTGTCTGTTTATCTCTGTCCTCCTAGATCAGAACCTTCAGGGGAGAGGGTCTTCAAGGCCATTTGCTCAGAAAAACTTCCACTAACTGTCATCTTGTTCCCACCAGCATGAGGGGCTTCCTCCAGTGGGCTCTCACTGAAGTTACTCTTAAGTTGGAGCACTACATCCCCAGAGCAAGCAATCACTTAATGATGTAGCTGCCCAAATCCCCCTCCCACCAGGACAGAAGCCCTGTCACATTCATATTTGTGCTTCCCATGTGTGCAGTGCAGTGCTTCTATCTGTCTATCTTATGGTCCATAACTATATGTGTGTGTATACACATATATATGTACATCAAAATAAATAAATAAATATTTTATCGTTCATAACTTCTACTGAATTCAAATATTTCATTTTATACTTCTTAAGTTTGTGATGGTACCGACCACTATGCCATGGTTGTTTAAGACTCTTATCAAATACTATTTAATGTGTTTGTTTCCTTAGCCCTGACTCCCTTGGATGATGGATCTGTGGATGTTCTTTCTGACTTAGTGCAGTTCACTGGCTACTTACACATGTGTTCCTAGAAGGGATGTGGATTTCAGAATACAATACATTAAATTCAAGTTCTATCCTTTCTAAAAGAAGTTATTATTGAACATGCACTTGTTTTCCAGGTACTATTTTAGTACATTCTATTGGAATAATCCCAGAGAACCCCTTAGAAAAACTATAGAAGAAGTCTACGTAA